ATTATACATTAATAGATAGCATTATCCAATCTTAAGTACCTCTATGGTTGTTAATCTTTCTAATTGGCGTTCATTATCCCAAAGCACAGAATATAAATAAGTAAACGTGGTGTTTACATTCAAAGGGAGTAAACCCTCAGTACTGGTAATAATTGATGGACAACCTTCTAACATTATCTGATCCCATGTCCTTAGCTTCCGCTTGTAAGTACAGGTAATACTTGTTTCAGTCAGTTACATGAAAATATGTTTATAGGTTTTTAGGTGTAAGCCGGAAAGGTGAATGTTCGATGGTGTGGAAAGTGTGATTCATGGGACAGACGAAATGTAATTAAAAGTAGCGAACGTATATTCCTGCTTTTGCCATTTCCAAGTGGGCTGATTAATGTGAACTAATCGCAACCATTCTCGTCTGAACGAGCATTAAATTAATTAAACTGAATATTCCAATATAATCTGCTATAAACTTGATTTTTTTACAAGTAGAACTTAATTGTTTCACCTTGATTAGGTAAACTACGAAGTTTTACTATATAATTCTTATTAATTTACTCTTTATGATATAACTTGATTTATAGTAATAATAATTTTTTTGTACCTTCCTATTTGGAAATATTTTAATTAAATTTGGCCCATCTAATAAATTTTTGGTACAACAACATTTTAATTTAAAGGGATTATTTCAATTAATTGAATTAAACTAAATTCTTTTAATTATTTTTAATATTTTCCCTTATTCAATTATTGTTCTCTATTGCTGATGCAAGGGCCTGAATTAGACTTTATTTGGCGGTGCGCTCAGTTTTTTTTTTTTTTTTGATTTATGATCTTTGCATATTTAGCCATGACGAATTCTTATATATGTTGTTCAAATTGGGGGTTATCGGGAAAAAAGGGCCAGAGGCGACAGTGGGAATCGAACCCACGACCGCGGAGTGAGAGTCTCTCATGCTACACTCGGCTACCGCGGTCCCCCTTTGAGCTCTTAAGGGCTGCATTTATGGAAACATGAAGTTATAACCCTTCATTCTTCCTTTCCTTACACATGGTAGGTATTTTTCTGATTACTGACATGTAGATAAAACAATAGGTCATAAGAAGAATGGGCCAAAGATTTGTAGTAAATTGGGCATAAATCCAAAAATAGAATACACAGCATACGATTTATTGCCTGCAGTGTCTCTGACAACATATAGGTTTAAATAATGAATTATACTTAAAACTAAAAAGATTAGCATGTCTTAACACTATATTGTTGCATACATACAACCTGCGGATAACATACAGATGGACAAAGATTCCCTTAAGACAAAATCTTATAAAGCCTGGACTAAGAGCAGGCCCTAAAAATACTGAAAAGGATTGAAATAAACAAAATGGCTACAACACTTTCAAACAAAATGAAAGTAAAAGACAATTTGGACAGACACTTTCAAATAAAGTTAGCAAGAGATGTTTGAAGAATAAAAACCCTGGGGCTTTATTATGGTACACAGATGGAACATGGAGTGGGGGCAGGAGTTAAAGGCCCAAATTTTGGGTGAAATCTCTAATCCCCAGTTCATCACAAGTTCAAGCAATTGACGACTATGAACAAGAAATACTTAAAAAAGAATTAAAAGGTGCAGATGCATATTCTCAGACAGCCAAGCAACACCGAAGGCTTTAAACGCCACCTTCAATTTAAACAGTCCAGGAATGCTTTACACATCACCAGCTCCTGGAAAAATGTAATTAGGTAATTCTGATTTGGGTAACAGGACTCAAGGGTATTGAACTCAACCTTTTTTTAATTTATGTTATAAATCAATTTAAAACCTAGGTTTACATGACTTAAGTACCAAGGAAGATAAATCGCAAACAAGCTTTAAGTTGGAAAACATACACAGTTATTAAAGGAAGAAATTTACAAAGGAATTACTGCACAATTCTGGTTGGAATCTTGACAGGGCACTGCCACTTAAGAAGGATCATACACTGGATAGAGTATAGTAGATAGAGTATAGACAAAAGAAACACTGTGCAGATACTGCCAGGAAAAGGAGGAGACTACAAAACACATTTTATATTTCTGTGAAGGGCTTTGTAGATGCAACAAGAACCTACACTAAGGAGTTATAAAATAACAGAGGAGCACAATAGATCTACTTAGGTCGAGGTGCAAAAGGCCTTGAGGCCACCTCTTTTATCCATATTTCTATGTACATGTATTTAGTTATACTTTTCCAAGTTTGCAAATTTTATCTCTACTCTTCTTTATTCAACCTATTAATAATAATGGCATAGGTATCCATCTGCCAAAGTCGATTTACATTTGACTTCAATTTTAAGTTGACACAGAAAAAAATAATAATAAACTAACAATAATTATTCATTGACTAAATATTACAATTAATATTTCAATTTTTAATAATTATTACTTACTTACAAACCATAATTGTTTCCTAATTCAAATTACACTCAATATGGATTATAAATAATTGGGGGCCAGCAATTTAGAATGAAAAAGCTTTAAAACATTTAAAAATTAAATTCTAAAATTAACTCTTAATGATTGTGTCAAGCATGGCATACATAATAAATTACATTTTCGAAATCATTTAGCAACAAGACAATAAACTGTGTCTTATTTAATTTAACAAAATTTAGATGCAGAAGCCGAATCTCAGATTCTTTAACATGGTCATTGCATAATGAACAAATTACCTTTTCTTTAGCCCAAAAAGGCATACCATTGAGATAAATTAGATCTACTGTGATTTTAGATAACCACCTTAGCTCAACCAATGACAAATTTTTAGTCCTATCCTTAGCTAGGTTAAACATATTAAAATCATACTGGTAAAAATCCTTATAGAATAAAAAATGCAAGGTTGGTCTGACTTGTTCACGAATTTCTTCACCAAATTTGACACTCAGTTCTCCTATAATTTCCTTAAACAGCAAAGGCCACTCATTCACATTATTTATGGAAAATTATGAGTCACATGAAAGATCTTTGCCCAAACTATTCCAACGCTCAAACAACAATGCACAATAACTAATGACTTTAAGGGTTACTATTTTGAAAGGATGGTAATTAGGAAGCTTGAAGAGTTTAAAGATGTATTTAAAATGATGGAGTTTGAGGGTATATAAAAATAACTTTAGAGTCTAAATAAATCATAAAATTCGGGGTGGTTTTGGGAAGGGAAAATAATTTTCTAATGAAAAAATGTTGGGTGGAACTGTTCAAATTTTTCATAGCCCCATACTTAACCAAAACTGCTCAAAAATGAATAGGGATATTTGTAATTTATTCTTATTCCATTAATTTTAATTAAATTAACCAATGTATTCTTGTTAGCGGATAAAGCAAAATAAAAAGTACAAACAAAAGATTTGTTAATCCTTAGTTTTAATGATGGATTTATTTAAGAATATGAAGATTACTCATTTTGTAAACAAACACGTTTTCTCGTCTTTTCTTCATTTTAATCTAGTTGTATTCTCTTCAGCCATCAAAAGACATCTTGAACAAGAAGTTCGCAATATTATTGTGAGAATGAGTCATTGAGGTCACTGGTATGTGGATATCACGAAGGCAGTTGGCTTTTCTTAGAGTGTGGTCTCTCGGGCTTTCCAATTCCGACAGACTGGAAGTACCAATAGGAGGCCTGGATCTCAGCGCATTACGATGCTAAGAGAGGAAAACATATAGGTCATTGCTGCAAGATGGAACCCTTTCCGTTGTGCCCGCCAGATCCTAAATGAAGTACAAGATGTTTTGGCAAGGCACTTATTGACACAAACGATTCGTAATTTGGCCTGACATTGTATGCCTCTTTGCGGTGACCTGCAGTAACAGCCCACCACCAGCATCTCAGGAGAATATGGTGCAGGGAGCGCCTAGATGCATCAATTGGAATGCAGTTATGTTTACTGATGAGTCGTGTTTCTGTCTGTACAGAGATAGCAGGCTCCAAAAAGTCTACCAAGAACAGGGGATACCTACAATGCCCCAGTTCGTGATCCCTTCAATTTAGTTTGGAGGACGCAGTGTAATGGTCTAGGATGGGATTTACACTGGAGAACGAATTGGACTATATAAATTATCGATGAATACGTTCTCAAACCAGAGATCTCATTGGTAGGGATTTTCGATTTTCTGGATAACAATGCCAGACCTCATAGAGGCAGAGTTGTCCATCAATGTTTAGAAAACCTGGAAATTTCCTATCTACCCCTTTCCCCATCATCTTCAGACCTCAATCCCATTGATCACATATGGGATGTCTTGCAGATAAGGCTTTTCAATCACCATCTGCAGCCATTTGACCTGCAACAACTGAGTGCAGCGTTGCAAAATCTATGGATGAAATTACTGACAACCTTATTAACAGTATGCCTAACAGATGCACAGAGATTTTAGCCAATAGAGGAAATTATTTATTTAAAAAAATTATTGTGTCAGATAAACGAAACTATGGAATTAAAACCTTTTATTTTTCAAAATCCCTTAATTAAACTTTCCTTCAGTAAAAAATATAATAATTTCTAATAAATTTTAATACAATTTATAATCAAAATAAAATAAAAATACTAAGGAAAGTAAATATTACAAAATTGGCAATATCTGCAGCCATTTTTGAGCAGTTTATGATACAAATTTAAGTACCTATAGATACATTTTTTCGTTAAATTTATATTTGTGTTTTCTTATATTTATTTAACGATATATTATATATTGTTATAATGTGTTTACCTTGTTTTTGTCTTCTGATATTCTGTTTGTAGTAATAATGAAAGAATAAAAATAATTCTTTGGCTTGTTAATAATTCGAGTCCATTTTCCTGACATCTACTGTCTGTACCTGAAACCAGTATCAGTGCTGCCAACGGAACCGAGAAACTGAAAATCCTTAGCTACCGTGTTTCGTACTTTCGACACAGGTGCGAGTTGAAATAACGACCTGCCTGTTTTTATATTTCCATCGAGAAAAGAAAACGTTTCGAGGCACTTTTCATTTTTTCTCTTCTCACCGGATGAAATTGAAAAATTATGCTCATTAATCGGTCTGTTATGTAATTAAAGTCGAGTGTCGGTGTGGCTGTGACTATGTTTACATGATACATGTTAAGGTTACAAGGAGAGCTAATAGAAAAAGGGTGGTCTCCTTTAGTTTTAATGGGGAAACATTTCAAAGTTTTGACCGAGCCTTGAGTTGCAAGACTTAGCTGAAGCAGAAGACTGAACGAGTATTTGTATAATTAGTCGCCTTTCCATATATGCTTGTCTACCTACTCGGCGATAATATGGTGAGTTATCTTCATTCTGCCCTTTCTTTTTCAACATAAAATAGCCCCGCTTGCCAACTCGTTTTGTTTCGGTTTATGATAATTTCTAAGTGTTTGTCTCAATTTCTTCTATTTCGGTCACGTTTTTTAACCCGGAAATTACGGGTTCGGTTCGTCGTTGTTGTACTTCGTATTAGGTGTGACTAATCGTTGTTATGAAATACTTCGTTAACAGGTGGTTTAACACTTTACGACAAAAATTTTCGTATCGCCATTTCCATCTGCAGTTTTAGAATTTTTTATCCAGACATGAAATTTCACGAGTTAATTATTTCTTGTACCTTAATAAAATCTAAAAAATAAAACATAAATAATAATAATAAAAACACTTGACAATCTTCATTTTTAAATTTACCAGCAATCATTGTGTAAGGAAGTCTTCCATCATAGATACAATCAAAATTTTTAACCGTCTTTCTTAAATTACACATAAAAGTGTAATCCATTTAATTTTTTGCATTAATAAATTATCCTAAAATATTTAAATATGACAACGTACATGGCATTGTAATTTATCACTCGTCTTATAGTTTCACAGGAAGTTTGACCTCAATGGATGCTTAAATGATTGAATTTTGACTAATTGTCATGATACAACAAGGTCAAAATTAATATAGAATTGAATTTGTGTATAATTACTGGGGTTTTTTTGGGGGGGAGGGGGATTTTCTATGTGGCCTGATATAGCCTGGAAAAACTGATATGGCATTTGTTTTGTAAAGGAACTTCTGGGCACAAATTCTTTTGACTACGTCCAATATTACTTGTCATCAGTTGGCTCCACTATTCCCGTAGAAATATCATAATTTTAAAATTGGATCTATTTGTGGCAATATTATTTATTTAATTCATGGTGAATTATCCAATTCACTTATTTCAAGTAATTATTCTTTTTATGTAAGGTCTTGGTTGAGTTGGAAAAGTTGGTGTCACGAGCAGGTTACGAACCCATGACCTCTGGCCCAATACGCCACTGCTCTAACCACTTGAGTTATCGTGACTTCGATTACTATTAAACATATCCTTCATCCAAAGCGAGAATCCTTATTACAAGTCTGATAAAAGTACTTGACATCGTAATCAGTCCCTCGTCTTACAAAAATTGTTGAATTTTTATCATATGATTTTGACTAATGTAATGATATAAACTAAGTCAAAATTCATGTAAAATGGAATTTGTTTATGATTATTTTCTTTCTGATTGTCTTTGTGACCTGATTTATCCTGGCAAAACTGCGTTATGGAATTTGTTTTGTAAAGGAACTTCTGGGCTCAAATTCTTTTGATTAATACAACATTATTGTCATCAATGAGTTCTCTATTCCTGTAGAAACATCTTAATTTTAAAATTCTATTTGCGGCAATATTATTATTTAACATGTTCTTCATCTGAAGCAAGAATTCTTATTACAAATCAGAAAAAAGTACTTGACATCATAATCAGTACCCTCATATATAATTGTACTGGAAGGTGGACCTTAATAATGCTCTTCAATTGTTGAATCTTTTCCATATGATTTTGGCTAATTGTAATGATACAACTAAGTCAAAATTAATGTAGAACAATTTGTTTATGATTACTGTTTTAGAAATTTTCTAATTGTGACCTATCCTGGAAAAACTACATTACAGAATTTGTTTTGTAAAACAACTGGGTTTAAATGCTTTTGCTCTACGCAACATTAATATTGTGAAAAGATTTCACTATTTGAGTAGGATCATTAGAATTCTTAATTTCAGTTTAGAACTGTTAGCTTTGTTTTAACACATACATCATTTCTTACATTCTATATAATATATAACGCTTTTGGTTTTCAAATCATCATGATACAACTAGGTCAAAATTAATGTAGAATGGAATTTGTTTATGATCTGATACGTCCTGAAAAACTGTGGTATTGTATTTGTTTTGTAAAGGAACTTATGGGCTGAAATCCTTTTGACTATGTCCAACATTAATATTCATCAAATGACTCCACTATACCAGTAGAAACATTATAATTTAAAATTTGGATCTATTTGTGGCAATATTAGCATGTCCTTTGCCCGAAGCAAGAATTCTTATTACAAATCTGACAAAAGTACTTGCATCATAATCAGCATCATTTAATTGTACAGGACAGTTGGCCTCAGTAATGCTTAAATTGTTTATTTTTTTCCATATGGTTTTGACTAATTGTCATGATACAACTAAGTCCAAATAGAATGGGATTTGTTTATAATTACTTTTTTTTGGACTTTCTTTGTGACCTGATATATCGTGGAAAAAATATATTACAGGTTTTGTTTTGCAAAAGAACTTAATGGGTACTAGTCGTCAAATGACTTCACTATTTGAGTAGGAACATGAGAATTTTTAATTTGTTTGAGCTTTGTTTGGATTTATTGGATGTATTCGTGTATTTAATACGTCGTTTGTTCAAACCAGGCATTTTCTTTACATGTGTGATGAAGTATTTGAGATCGTGATCGATCCCTCATCTTATAATTTCACTCTCAAAGACCTCAAAGAATGCTTAAAGTGTTGAATTTTATCTGTACAATTTCAACTAAATTTCATTATACAACAAAGTCCAAATTAATATAAAATGAAGTTTATTTTGTAAACGAACCTCTGGCTTCCAATTCTTACAACTCCTTGCAACAAATAATGTCACTTTTGTTTTTTTTACCTTATACTGATGAGCACTTTGTCAATGCATAATCCACTTGCTTTATCATTGACCTTTAAAATCAATTTTATATTAAAAATCACGGATTAAGCCAGTTTGGAAAAAACACTCAACACTCAGTCATCATGTCTTTGAACATATAATTATTAGTATAAAATTATATTACATCATTAATACTTGTGTTTTCAAATAATGAAATTATGAGTTATCAGCGAACGAGATGAACCAAGGCGAGTTTATTCTATATCAGGCATATATTATTATGTTGAAGGCTGATATTAATTATATTGTAGATAATTTCTATTGTGAGATTAATTTACTTTACAACTTAACAATTCCAGCTTTCAGTCAGAGTTTAAAACAGTTAGTTGTATTATATTGATAAATGTAAACCTCCTAATGGTAAAATTAATGTTTAATGTGACCTTCCAAACTGGTGATTCTTCTTTCAAATCTGGTATGACTTTAATTTTTATAGAAGAATCTAGAATAAATGCCATGAGACATCCAAAATTAAATATGTAAATACAGACTGGACTTTGCTTTTTTTTATTGTTATTTATATTATTTCTCAACCAACAAGGATTCTAATAATTTAAGCTATCTTTATTATTGGTTTTGAGATTAATCTACTTGAAAGAACATCAAGTATTCTAGTTAAAAGATGGTAGATTTCAGTTGAATTTAAAACTTTGTTAAATTGAACTTGCACATTATTAAAATAAAATTGAACCTATTTATTTTTGAATGGGACAATGTGCATGACATCGTAGTTTTAGAATAATAAAAATCTGGGCCTAAATAAATGCTTAAATTAGGAATTTTCATGGTAGAATCTTAAATAAATCTCATGAGATAGCATGTTCAAAATGATAGGAATACTGAATGGGAATTTTTTGTAATATATCTCAACTGTTCAATGGCCAAATAATTTTAATTATCTTTTATTATTAGATGTGAGATTAATGTACTGGGGAAATTTCATTGCATATTTTAGGTAGTTGAAATAAAGATTTCACGACAAAGTAATAAGTATTTCAAGGGGGCCACGGTAGCCGAGTGGTTAAGGCGTTAGACGCTCGGCTAGTTGATCCCACGGTCATGGGTTCGATCCCCACCGTCGCCTCTGGACTTTTTCTGACGCCTAAGGGGACTGGTGGCCGCAATTAAAAGAAATTGAGACAGTACTCATCAATAGAAGGGGCGGGATCGGATCTCAGCGACCCTGAATTTGGTCCCAACCCCCTTCAAAAATGAGTTTCTTCCATGGAAGAACACCGGTACAACGGGGGCTCAAGTTCACACTTGTGTTGCGAGTCTCCCTCCATATATATGGAGCCAGGGATAAAGTACAATAAGCTGTACAGCTCAGCTGCGGTGCTCAGGGGGAACTGCTCCAGTCCCTGGTATCCATTGTAAAAAAAATGTATTTCAACTTTTGAGAGGATGAAGTACATAACATCATGGGCAAAGCCTGGGTTTAGATCTACACAAAAAGCTGGTCTTAAATTATTTTCAAGGCAAAATCAACTAAATTTCTACATGATATGAATACAGAAAGGACTTTTTTATTTAAATAATAATAAATATTTATCATCTATTATTAGCTTTCAGATTAATTTACATGAAGTAAGTTCACATTATATTTTGGTTTCAAGGTTTATTATTAGCATCTAAACGAAAAAGTTTTACATATATAGTATTATCATACAATAATAGTAATAGCAATAGTTTAATGAAGAACTTATGATAATACATTATTATAATACAATAAAGTAAGACAAAAAATAATAATAATAACATAAAAATTAAAATCACTTCAGCCAACAATAATTTAAGTATGACGAGTGATTTGATTGTTTTCTGAAATTAATGTATTAGGAAGTGTGAATCTCTGACAAGTAGGTAAATTTTGCCAAAAAATGCTCACTATTTTCTTTTTGTCGCTCATTATATAAAGAGCATAGGCTTTATACCTCTTGTCATTAATGAAGTGAAGTGTAAAATCCAAGTGTAAAAAGCCATATTTCTTCATTTCAACTCTCCCCCAGTTTTTCACCCTCCAATCTGAACACTTGACACTTGTATCGAGCTTTTGGTATAAGAAACCAGTTAACCGCACTCTATCCAGATGCACTTCTCTTTAACTGGACCTTATACTAGACTGTATACTCTGAAATTTCTCCAAATTTATAATTTTCTGGAGAGAACCAAATAGAGGGATGGTATTTATTTAACATGGAATTCCACTGTTTATATCAGTGCCATAACTTTTCTTTACTTTCTGTGCTGTAATTTTGGAATAGCGACGGGACAGGAGTTTCAATACTCAGCACTCTAAATAAACACAATACAACAAATATAATAGAAATATAATAAAATATCGAGATTGGAATATAGGTAATCATCTGCCATTTGCCGGGGCTGCTCAGGGGATAAATTCCAGTTTGCTGGCCACAGATGCAACCTATTCTGGGTAGGGACCTGCTACCCGCTCGGCATGCTGTGGAACAATAAGTTCTCAGCAAAGTGAAAAACTTTTATATAAAGAAATGCAGAGATTTTTCTAGTAGATGATAAGGTAGAAAACCTCAAACCTGAAATCAGTAGAAGACAGAATAAGACAGCAAACCACATTAAATCATTTAAATTGGAAGATGTGGTAACCAGATCATATTTCACAAAACCGGTCTACTAACAAATCTGACAAAGTATGTGGGATTGCAATCAATCCCTCATCAAAGAAGTTCACAGGAACATCGGCTTCAATAATTTTTTTTTAAATTTCCATCTGATAAAAATAAATTTAAACCTCTAAATCATAACATTATTTTTAATATGACCATGTTCCAAACCAAGAACTATTATTACAAGTCTAATAAAGTATGTAGGATTGCAACTAAGCCCTTGTCTAATAATTTCAAAGGAAGATCGGCCTCAATAAATACATACGGCATTGTATAAATTCACTTTTTTCCACATCCTACATGTATTTGTTAAATTTAAACAATGTTTGTAAATCCCAGGCCCTGAAGATGATCTCAATAAGATGGAAACGTTAGCACGATAAAGAAAATGTTTTTCTGAAACCTACGTCACACCAGACCGCATCTCACGATTTCTGAATAATCTCAATAAATACTTTTCTTTAATTTTTCTCTGATTAAAATAAATTTAAACCTCTTAAAAATAACATTATTTTTTAACACGACCATGTTCCACACCAAGAACTCTTATTACAAATCTGATAAAGCCTATGCCATTGTTAAAAAATCCCTTCTCTTGTAATTTCATAGGAAGCTAATACTTTATTTTTTGAATTTTTGTCGTATGATTAAAATAAATTTGAACCTGATAAAATTATTTTTTAACATGGCCTGTTCCAATCCAAGAATTTTTATTACAAATCTGACAAAGTACGTGACTATATTTTGTCTAAAGTAGTACAATCCAAGCTATGGAACTCCATAATAGAGAATCTATTTGAAGAAATCTTCTGTTAACAACATTGAACAGTGCTGGACCTAAAAGAAGTTTTCTTCAAACACAAAGTACGTGACATCATAAACAACCCCATTGTCTTGTAATTTCTCAGGAATCTTGACCTCAACAATATTTTTGGTAAATGATGGTTCTACTCACAGATTTAAAACCATCATTTACCAAAAGTGAATCTACATACCCCACCTTCATCATTTCTATCAAAAATACTTTGTCTTTTTAATTTTCATAATAGTGTTGTTTTTTTAAATGTATGCATTCAGTGAACTCTTATTTTTGTAATATTTTGTATTTTGTGGTTCTAATCATTTCACCTCTTTATATTATCTGTAACGTTGATGCAATTTGATGTAACTTTGCATATTCAAGTTTTCAAATTTTTTTCAATTGTTATTTAAAAGTATTTGATTCGTTTAAATTGTATTAATTTAATAAATTTGATCCTCTTAATATTATTGTTTAATGTGACAATGGAGCAAAGAGTATGGCATCATGATCCCTGGGTCATAGTACTTTCTGACAAGATTGACCTTATTGATCCAGCATTTTGAGAACATTCATAAATAGCTTTCTTATCATTTTTAATGTGTATTTCTTCCATCTTGACATTGTCAATTTATATCATTGCTTACAAGGAAAGGATTAGATTTGTTTAAATCGATGTCCATCTGATAAATGAATTAAACAATTTCTGTTTAATATTTAAGGCCCTTGATCAATACTTTGTCTTATAATTTCTCAAGGATATTGATATTATTAAATACTTTATAATATTTCTCACCGATGTTTATATCACCTTTTAAAAAAAGATTTTATCAATTTTCACATCCCTAAGTTGAAATGTACTAGGTTTCAATTAAAATTTAAAAGGCAGGTATGTTTAAATTGCTAATTAACAGATTGATAATTAAATTTATTAAGAGCATTGTTGTTGACCATTTTTGACCACTACCCAGACCTTTAATTATATTTAATTATATTTTCATTAAAGCATTGTGAAAAATTGAGCTTTAAAAAAACATTATTTTTGTGAGAACATTTTCAAACAGTTCAATCGTTCTAATTATTTAAATGATTTTATCTAAATACCTTTAATGTACTGCATGAATTTTCAATTATTTAAGTTGTATATTGTTGATTTCAATGTATATTTAATGAGCAAAGTATATTTAAATGGATATGTATCAAGTTAATTATACCCCTTAATATTAGATCTATGATTAAATTATAAATTGTATCATCATAATTATTAATTTTGTAAAGTACTTGACATCACAGTCAATTCATTATCTTTTATTGGATCATCTCTCTGTACTTCCAACTTTTATAGTTGTGGTTAGAATTGTTTAAATCCATGCATTTAAAAGTTATATATTACAACTTTTGTATTAATTCACATATACAGATTGAAATGTCATTTGTCACAATTGCTATTCAGTGAGGTTCATTTAAATTAAGTATAAAAGTTAAATTTAATTAACACAATTAAACCTTGCAATGGCAATATTTTTGTTTGATTTTGTGACCTCTATGAGTCATTATGTGGCTCATCTTATCTTCCATCTTATCATGACAAATTATTGCAAATCAAGAAATGTTGGATAAGAGAGACGGCCAATAATATATGAGTGGTTATTTATAAAGTTTTCAATATCAAATGCAATTTATTGTTTAGTGGAATGATGAAAACATGATGTAGTAATGAACTTAACTGTCAGTTTTACGCGGGCTTATATATTTTATAGTGATTATATTGTTAATGGCAATATTACTTTCAGTATTGAATTAGCATTTCAGCAGTTTGTTGAGAAATAGACTTTCCTTGACAGTTGAGAGTTATAATTGTCTTTGTGCCCAGTGTTGTGCAAGGATGTGAGATTTAATTTTGTAATAATTCTCCCAAGCGCACAATTTTCATCTAACCTTTGATTTATTTTTATGTTTCAGTTGAAGAACTCAGAAATAAAATTCCACATCCTAAGGTAAACCAAGTTTGTAAAAGAAACTAGAAAATGAAGACTTCTGAAATGAGAGATTATCAGAGGAGAAGGTTGAAGGCGTTTGTAATCAAATAGAATTTTGAGTACACAGTATGGAAGTTGATACGAATGTTGAAGTTTTATATGATTTTGAGTATTCACCAAAAGATGGTCAGAAAGTGGTTATCAAAGAAGGAGAAAAGCTTCTTTTATTAAAAAAGACAAACAAGGATTGGTGGCAAGTGATAAGGAGTATCGGGAGGCCTTTTTATGTGCCTTCGACTTATGTCAAAGTTCTCGGGGAAAAAGATGGAGCAGTCAAGAAAAGGAATAACATCTCTTCAGCATCCCCACCAAGAAATTTTACAGTTAGTGTCAATATAAAGTCACCTGATCAGAAGCCAATCAAAACAAAAGTGATGCTTAACTGCGATGAAATACCGACTGATAGGGTATCGGAGAGATACGGTAGAATCCCTTTTTCGAGCAGTTCGGAGTTGTCGAAAAAAAAGGATACTCTGGCCGAAGCGAATATTCTAGATGATAACATGTCCCCGTCTTTAGCCGATCTGGCAAAAGAGATAACATTTAAGCCGAAACAAGATAGGCTCAAGTACTCGGGGAGCTTCAAGACACGTTATGAAAGGAAAATGCCGTCGAGATCATTTTCTGGTTCGACACCTGACCTCACCTGTGATAGTGAACCCTCCCCACCAGATATAAACCACACCAAGAGTGTCGAGCAACTTCCTGATCTTGAAAACAATGTTGTTCCAACGAATAGACACATCAGCAACAACATCAGGTCACTCGCAGAAAAACTTGAGAGGAACATGGCAAAAAGCTTCAACTCCTCGTATGAAAACAACAATCTAAAAGACAGCTCGGATTCAGTTGGGAGTAGCATCGGTGGTCATGCTTCAGTCGATACACTCGGTGCTTCAAGCTCAGAGAGTATCGACAAACCTAAGATACCACCTGTTGCAAAACCTAGACGATTTCAACCAGTAGTAAGTGAAAAATTAACATCTTTCATTTTACATATCAGTTTGTGATCTGAATCATTTTTTATTTTGTTTACACAGAGATTAGATAGTAGTTCTATATATGTCTATTTGTGGCTTTCTTAACATTCAAAAACCATAAAAACATTTTACCTTTTTTATAATTATTGTTTTATAATTTTTCTTCGTTTTAACAAATTTATCAGTTATCACACCAATAAAACTATGAAATGAAATATATTGAGAATCGTTGCACTATAATTAGAACAAGTTTTTAAATCACCATTCAAGATTTCTCTATTCTAATATTCCCCCTAGGAATGAATATTTCATCAAAAGAGAATACCAATTACTCAATTGCCAGCAATCATACAAATTTGCATGACAATCAGTTTTGATTCAATTTTACCCCTAGGAGAAGAAAAGGCGTAAACTGTAATACTGTCCTGCATAAAAGGAAAATCAAAATAATATACCTTATTAATGACTTATTTGCTGTTATCAGTTAATAAATACTATTATACATGTTCTCTGTTGTCATAATAGAATAATTTTGATCAAAGTTGTCCATCTCTAATTGCCATTGTTTTATTTTATAAGCTGTAAACATAATACCAAAATGGGGTAAAAATGAAATATTAAAAAACATACTTGGTGTTCTGGTCATAAATTGCTACGAAGGTGGATAATCATATTGAAGATCTCTATTACATTTAAAATCATTTGGAGATGCCCTAACATTTTAAAGTAGCTTTGAAGGTGTTGGAAAAATAAGCACTCATAAGATTTTTCCTTGATGAATTTATTAAATTATTAACATTGTGAATGTCCTGGTAGATTTATTGGTCTATTTTGAGGGTCTAATTGATGAAGTTGCTTACATAACTGACTGAATTAACTTTTTATTTGTATTTGTCGTAGAGATAAGAGTGGTGTAATTTTGGAGAGGCTAATGTTATTGTATTCTTTATAATTTGTATTGCTGTTTTTGTGCCTGTGTTAATGCCGTTGCATGTGTTTGCTTTGTTCTGCCCCAAGTGGAGTACTACATCGTACAACTTGCAGGCTCAAAATGAAGTCATCTATGCCAACTGTTTGGAAGTAGCCAGGGAGATGCAGCTGCGTAGCCCATGCCGGCGAAACAGTGAGAAGGATGATTCTTCCGAAGAGATGCCCACAATGACATCGCCTCCGATTCCTCCGACAGGCTGGAGCACATATGTCGACACGGAAACGCAACAAACATCTTACATTCATTCATCGACTGGTGAAAAGGTAAGAAAGCTTTGATTAACATAATTTTTTATGTATGAAAACAGCGCTAATTGGATTTAATCCAACTGCTGTCATCTTTTGAGCGACTAAACAAGTTGACACTTGTTTTACTTTTTTATGCATCTAGGACAGGAAATGTTTAATTACTACGCATAGCTTGAGAGCTGTTCATGGTCTAAATAATTATTCTATTTTTATTTACTCCTATTCATATACACACACCCAACATCACTAATAATAATTTTATATATAAGATAATAATATTGTTTGGTCAAATAATGCTCAAGAGTCTGATTAAGGCTCAAAATAAGCCATACGGCATTGACACAGATCTCACTTACGAAAAATAATGTTACACACATCCATATTGAAAATGATTAGGCTGTAGCATCAAGGTACAAGGTCGTCTGTTATGCTTTGAAGGAAATTCTTGTGCACTAGTGAATGTATTTATTAGTTGGAATGGTGTGATTCCATTGATACTGGTACTTCAGCAATCTTTGCAATGAGATTTAAACATAAGAAAGAAAGAGTGTGTTTATTTTTATATATTATGACTTGCCACAATAACCTAATCTATAGCTGCATAGTTTAACTTGGTTTAAATCTTACCCCAGGCTACAAACGATAAATCTAATTTCAATAATAACAATAATAATAACAAATAAAATATTTAAAAGGGCTTTTGAAATAAGCTCGACGTTAATCTTCCATAAGATTTAAGGTTAGAAATAGTCGGCTTCTTTATGACCTTGGTCACCATGACCAATTTTAGTGTCTTGTCCTCCTTTATCCATATCATTTAATCTACAGATCTGCTTTTGGCACAAAGCCCAGATATGAAGCATAGTCTTTCATGCATCAATGTCGACAATGATTGTGTAGTAGCTTTTTGTTAAGCATAAAGCAATTGACCAGATTCTAAAGCATTGTCAAGTGCTCCCGTGTGAATACTTCAGGCCTTGGTTTTATCTAACAAAGGAGAAGGAATCTTAGTCTACATAGGCCTTGTACCAACAGAGGAAATGTTCCACTGTTTTGGCTCCAGTGTCTAGTTAGCAGTAGGACTACTGTCATTACATGCTAGGTTTAGTAGTTCGATGGTTTTTGGTGAACTTTTATGCATTCCTCTGGCCTGAAATACCATACCACCATTGAACTGAGTATATTTTTTATATTCCGAACCCTGTCTGATGATTTTCCTATGCTGTCATGGGGTTCAGACCTGAAGGTCATGGGGTTTGAATCCCACTCATGACACTAATTTTTCAACCCAACCATAAACTTTAGATAAAAAGAATAATTAATAATTGGAAATTTTTGGGTTAATTTATCAGCCTTATTCCTCTGCCTTTTATACCCTTGTACCCACAACAAGGGTATTTTATTGCAATACGGTCAATTATGACCACTAATAAAATATGGATTAATTTAATTTTTTTATATTCTTAACCCATTGTCTGATGATTATGTTTGTGGCAATTTCCTATGCTGTAATAGGGTTCAGAGCCAATAGGTGACTGCTATTAGAGCTTGTCCATAAATTAGTGTGTGAATTGAGAATCTACCTTTTTTTTTTCTTCTTTTTGCAATTGTTATAACCTTATTAAAATTTTGGTGTACTTTTATTACATTTTTTTAAATTATCCTAAAACAAGAAACATGTACATTTCCCTCACATTGTTGAACTCTACTTTTACTAGCTTAAATTTTATATAGGCAGCAATTTACAATTTCATATTTAACAAAATGGAAAAAACCAGTTAAAATTCCAATAAAATAAAAGTTCTTCCACTGAATTTTAAGAACTTAATTCTCCTGAAATTAATAAAAGCTGTTATTATCTTTAAATAAATATTGTCCGAGCTGGTACATCATGTGTGCATGTGTAATGCAAAAATTATTAGGTTAACAGAATGTAAATAAATTAATACAGAAGATTGAACTTGACATTCTTTAAAAAATGCAAATTAACAGGAAGTGATGACTCACTCTATTAAGCAATACACTAAATGGACTTCTATTAGATAATTTAGTATATAATTGTTTATTTCTATACTTTTTTCTTAATTAAATAAACTAAAGAATTCATTTTATGATTTTTTTTTTAAATATGGAATTTTTTTAAATATTTTTAAGTTGGAAAAGTTGTATTACAAGGATGTGCCTTGACATTTTTTTTACAACTGAGCATTTATCAACTTATTTAATGAAGAACACATGCCTTTAGATGTCTAGATATGACATTCCAATTGACCCCTGTGGGTGTTCTAAGTAAGGGCTTTAATTGATAAAAAAAAAAAAGGACAGAATGAGAGAAAAAGTAGTGGGGTCCGGATGACCCCACAGTTTCCATCTGAGTCACACAGTGATGAAATGTGGGAATCCAATCCTGTTTACAGGTGCGGCCTGGTCGACAGAAAAAGCTTCTTCACCGCTCTGTGCGAAGATGCTATGAAATTTGTCGGACAGCTCACGCTCGAATGTCGTCTTGCAATTTTTGACGACACCACATTTGAACACTTTTACATCTCAGGTCCTGACGCATTGCCTGTTGTAAATCAGAAAAGTCAGTCAGATTCGGATATCTTCTGGAACCTGATCATCGCAACCTTTGAAGAGATATTGAATCAGCTTGATCTGGTTGAAAATCCAGCATTGGACAAAGAGTTTTTAGAAAGCTGCAGCAACATACACAACATGATAAATGACGATTTAGACCCCACTTGCAGCCGTTTAAGCTTGGCAAACAATCCGGGCACTGAACTTTCAAATTGGGAATGTGATACAGAAGACAATGTTAGTACTCTTATCAGTGAAACGACATATCCTACTGATGATGATGATACCCAAAGCGAATCTAGTGATGTTAAAGCATGGATAATCAGCCTTTACTATTCAGCATTTGACGACTACGAGTTTCATGTCATTGAGCACAATGACGATGGTGATGAAGATATTGAGGTATTAATTGTAAATGCGTAATGTTAAAAACATTTTCTTGACGTTTATTCATTTTCATTTGTTTGAGATAAGATAACAAATATTGGGTTGTCCGGAAAATAATGCAGGATTTTAAGTTTTCATTAAAAAAAATCTATATAAAATATTCTGTTTACGTTTACAGGATTACTCATTTGTANGTATGGGAAATTATTTTGATTAAAGAACATTGCTTTAAAGTAACTAGTTTCTTTTTTTTTGTTTAATACCAAAATCCTGCATTATTTTCCGGACAACCCAATAAGATACAGGATATTTTGAAGCCTTTTTTGTGATTTGAAAGTTGTAACTGCAGTCTTAGCCTAACTAAATGAAAATTTAAAAACGGCCTTATGTTTAAAAAACTTCGAAAACTTGCAAGATCAAAGACGGTACAACGCTTGTCCCTTATTTACTTATAATTTTACTCAAACTGTTTACATTTCTGAAAACATGTTTTATGTGTGTGGGTGAATGTTTTGCACTGCTCTGGCAATGTTTGATGTTTTTTTAACCACAATAATCTGGTTAGGGCACTAAAAATTATAATCTTGTCTTACGAGACCAATTTTGACCAAGAAAGAACAGCGCTCTTAAATATATAAATAAGTTGTTACTCTCGATTCTACACTTGTAAAAAATAAATTACAAATTTTATTGATTTTCTAGTGGCATTCTGCAAGTGATCATTCTGGTAGACTTTACTATTTCAAAGAAAATAGTTCAGAATCGTCATGGACTTTGCCAAATCAGTCACCCCAGTCTTCCTACCACCAAAACCAAGAAGTACAGCCTCCTGTAAGCCCTCAGGTAGTAAAATTTCCTATAGTTTAGCGAATAAAAACATAAAAGTCTTTTTTTCTTAGCCGTTACCCAGTGATTTGGCCAAATTCAATAAAATAAGCCAAAGCCAAGTTGATGTCATTGCTAGGAAGCAACGAACTGCCAAAGCACTTTCTCTCATTGTTCCCAGCAAGTAAGGTCATGAAATTGTTCAGTTTTACATATTGCTCATGCAAAATTTACTTTTCAGGATTGATGAAAAGGAATTCACAAATCAGAAGAACAAATCAAGACTTCCAGAGGGTCTAATTGTACGTATATAAGTAAAACTTTCTTTGTAAGATGTTCATAATATCTTTTTCTTTTTCAGTCGGTCATCAGCGAGGGCCCTCTGCACTTTACAAAAATAGCTGAAGCTGGGAAACGTGTTAGAAAAAATTGGAACCCCGTCTATGTGGTTCTGACAGAATTGTATCTTTTTATATACAAAGACCTAAAAGCATTTCATTCACATAAAACACCACCTGAAGTGACAATAGACCTCCAGGGTGTTGAGGTCTGCAGTGGTGGTAGTGTTTCGGGCAGAAAGCACGTTTTGCTACTTTCAAACCAATCGGGATTTCAAATCGCTCTTCAGTGTGAAAATATCCACAGCGTGCTACACTGGGGAACAAAAATCCAAGAAACCGTAAGTTTTTTAATCGATCTTGTTTAAATTATTCAATCATAAGTCAAAAGTAAATGACAAATTCAATACATCTTTATAGATTCTCGATTGTTTTAAATGTTTATCAATGATGAAAATGTGCAGGGGTGCTGATTTGTTGCTATGATAACAGCATAGTTCACTTTAGGTGATACTGCTCATCTCAAGTGATTTATGGACACATTTTGCTGAGATATATTAACTGAAATTAATTTAGTTCAAAATATTTTGATTAACCTTTTCGGGACTGATTTTCAGATACTACACAAATGAACAAACATACACAAGTACAGAGTTTAAAAAAATAAAATAAAAATAAAGATGACAAGTACAACAAAAACAAAAATATACTCTCAAAATTATTGTCAACATAAATGATGTAAAACTAAAACTGAGGCCACTGAAACTGACTGAATCTGAAATATAAAAGAGTAAGACGGTTGGGATGGGCAGGGCGAGAGGTAGAAAAAAGTAGGACATTCCCATTGAGACAGATATTATGGCCGAATGATTTTACAGAAAAAGGAATGTGTCGTAATTTCACGTAAGTTTGAAAGAGAGGCCTGATCATAAAAGGTGAGAAAAGAGTGGTTTGTTGATGATGAGGATGTAAAAAGAATGTGTCACTACTGAGGTGTCTGCTACACATTGGATACGACCTCAGCCCAATAGATGTTATGAGTGTCCAACTCATAAAAGTTAAAAACCATGAGGATGAGATAGCTCATCACTAGTCCTGAAAAGGTTAATCGGTCAGAAAATGATAATAAAAATTTTATAAATTGATTCTGCGTTTAATATAGTTCGAATTCTCCATGTTTTCCTTTTACAGGCAAAAGTCATTCCTGAGAAAATCAGCAACAAACTCGGCTCCATAAATGAAAACCCAGTAGAAGAACCATCTAAAAAGGGCTCTAACATCGGCCGGTCAAAATCTGTTAACTGTAAGTAATTATATAAGTGAAAATTAACAAAAAATAATTTATATACCTTCTTATGGCATAACAATTATCACTCTCAGCAGTAACACAGGTCAGTTCAGTTTATATATATATATTTACTACATTTTTCTACTATGTTAAACACCCCACTTTTTATTTAAAAGAAGAAACAAATTATCATCCCCACTCCCCTCCAAAAAACGACCTACAAAGAAAGCAAACGTTGAATAATCAATGCTGTAGCAATTGCTAACGTACCAGTGATAAGTAAAGATAAGACCATGGAGGGAGGAGAAATCTGTAACCAGTTTATTCCCCCATGTGTTGTGAATTTTATTGTCGCCTATATAAAAGAAACTTTTATTGATAAAGGTTTTAACAACACATAAATTCGTATGATGTTCACATGTGGTATTTTATTTAATTTTTTAATGTATTTAATTAATTAATTATTAAACATTTGTAACCAAAGTAAGGGTATGTTGTTATGCAACCTTGACTTTTTTTATTGTTCCTTTATTTTTTTATTTGCTTTTATTGTTTTATAGTAAATGTCCATCATATTGTTTAAATTTAGTGATTAAATTAAGCTGGAAAGTTTTTATTGAAATTTAATTTTGTAGAGTCATTTAGTTAGCCGTTTGGCACTGACCAAAACATGTATCCGGATGATCGGAAAATTTATTGTAGAAGAAGATGGTTGTACAACTCTGTTCACTCTTTAAAGCACCACAATTTTGTGGAAATTTGGTCATATTGAAGCAAATTGAAATAATTTTTGTACTGTAAGCGGTGGCGGCCGAACAATCATTCTATATTCGCTTGCTTTTCTCTAAGTGATAAGAGAGTAGTCGGCATCAGTACTTTGCTACTTATTCTTATGTAGTGGAAGGTTAGATTTGAGAATTTAATAAACCCAAGAATATATTTTTCAACATTTATTTTAACACATTCCGCCTTTCAAATTTATGCAACCCAACAAAATCTTAATTAATCTAACGTCAGACAAAACTCTAAATCTGGGACGAGTATTAATAAAGGGACTTACCCACGCCACGATGGCGTTCACAGCATCCCCAGTGCCTTTCCGGTTTCTCGACCATCGACCAGTTGAAGTGGTTGGAGATTTCGTTTATCTGAAAAACAAAGATTGTAAAAAAAAATTCTAATAACTTAGAATGGTTGCTTCAAATTAAAAATCATTTGCTTTGTTAAACCTTTCTAAAAATATACAATGATATGTACCTTTCTGTTTTAATTAGTTAAAATTTTAACTGTATCCTGTTATCCTAGAGAGTTAGATCGAAATTTTTTTGGTTCATGAGAAACAAAAAAATGAAGTTTACGTGTTTTGGGATTCGGTATTTTTCCCAAAAACACCACAATAAAAAAATATAGGGGGGTACAGAAATTAAATTCACCCTATATTTTAATTAATACTGTCAGTTATTACTACTAAACGTATATGGATGTATATTTTAAGCTGTAATCGGAAAAAAATCCTGCATGAATTATATTTTAATTTTATGTTTTTATTTGTTATTTTTCATTTGTTTTTTCTTGTAGTCAAAAACAAAGATGACAGCACTGAAGACTTGGGTTCCCAGGCTGAACGGCAGGGCAAGATTAAAGAAAGGTTGAAAAAGTTTTTCCATAAAAGGCCGACAATGGATTCTCTGGTTAAAAAGGGCATTTGGAAAGGCTAGTGGTCATTTTACTTCTTATTTTTAATTTAATTTAATTTTTTTCTGTATATATAGTTATTTTTATATTTCAAAACATTTAACAGATGAGCCTGTTTTTGGATGCTACCTTGAGCAAGCCTGCGGTCACAGTAACACAGGACCCCATGGAAAAGTGCCACTTTTTGTCGTCAAGTGCATCGCAGCCATCGAATCCAGCGAGGAGAACATGAAAGCCGTCGGTTTATACCGAGCGTCAGGCAATCTCAGCCAAATCCAGAAAATTCGGCTTCAGGTATACAATATAAATATTAATTTCACTATTTTCGTGGTCCACTTGGCCAATTAATACTTTACAATTAATTAAGGTTTTTAGTTGAGATGAAAAAAAGTTAATGGCACAAGAGGGATTCGAACCCACGACCTTCGGCATGATACGCCGCTGCTCTACCACCTGAGCTATCGTGACCTCGATCCACTCGGACATCAACTCCCCATCTCAACCCCAGAGCAGCAGCGTATCAAGCCGAAGGTCGTGGGTTCGAATCCCTCTCGTGCCATTAACTTTTTTTCATCTCAACTAAAAACCTTAATTAATTATAAATATTAATTTTTTTCTTTTCTTTTTAACCGGCTGAATTTTGTTTTGTAGATTGACCAAAACAACTACACTGGATTGGCCAAAGAGGAAGACGTACACGTCCTCACCGGAGCTCTTAAACTATTTTTTAGAGAATTGAAAGAGCCTTTGATCCCTTTTAAACTATTTCCCAAAGTCATCCAAGCAGGCAGTAAAGTTTTAATTTAATCTACAAAATGCATTATAATTGTTAACAAACTCATTTAATATATTTTCCTTTTAGCAACACAAAATACAAAAGAAAAACTTAGCATGTTTGTTGACTTTGCAAAATCCCTTCCAGCAGTAAATAGAGATACACTCAAGTTCCTGCTACAACATCTTCTAAGGTATGTTTTCTTTCTTTATTTAGTGACAAACTTACTTTTGTATCATCATAAACATCAAAATGTATATACAGTCAACTCTCGATTACTCGAACCTTAATGACTCAAATTCCTTGATAACTCGATTTTTTTTTTAAATCCCACAATTTTTGTTTATTGTTTGCCCTCATATTTACATCTATAAGTCGAACATTTCAAAATGAAAACCTTGGTTAGACATATTTTTTTGTAAGCCCACACGACTAGTGCCATTTCTTTACCTGATAGTCCTACTTTAAACAGCCCCCAGTACCCTTCATGCAGTTCATTCATGTCATCTTGTTTTTTTCTCAACCTCTTCATGCATATTTTTATCATTCATTTATGAATCATCTCCATTTGTTTTCTTACAGAGTGACACAATATCAGGAATTCAATATGATGCACATCGCAAATCTGGCAACTGTGTTCGGGCCTACACTTCTCTGGTCAGAGCAAGAATCTCTGAACATGGCGTTTGACCTAATACAGCAGAACATGGTGATCGATGCCCTTTTGAACAACTACCATCATATATTCAAGTAGTCTTCCTACCCCTTTTCCCCCAAAACTCCTTCCTAGAAAGCAGAACGAAAAGACTAGAAATTGTTGCCTCAGTACTAAAGAGAAAAATATTAAATAAAGCTTTATTTTAGAAAAATCCTTTAGAAATTTTATAATAAAAAGAAAAAATCATGTGAAAAATAATTTTAAAATCAGACAAGACACTAGTCGTCAACAAATGTTATATCATCCAATGTTGCTTTTTTGGGTAATTTTATTTTCTAAAATATTGCTTTCCATAAAAATTTAAAATAATATTGAAGAAAAAGAAAAGGAAAGGCCGACCAAAGAGTAGTTAAGTAGCTTTGAATCAGCTCAAAAATACGTATTTAATTGAAACTTTTAGAGCCAAGTTCCTTTTGAATTGTTATGAATTATCAACGAAAATTTGCTGTGACTACATTTCGCATACTCAAGCCAATCATTTGTTTCACATGAGTGATATTTTTTTAGAGTATATTAATTGATGGAGAAAGGAAAATGTTTTTATTATTGTCATTCCAAATATAAATTATATAATTATGTTAAATTATTGTTTTTGTCACACACAACTTATGTTATTTTAGTCATGATAGTTTAAGTGTAAAGTTAAACAAGCTAGCTTGAAAATGTTTATTAGCAAAGCTAAAGAGTGAGATGTCTGTATATAGCTTTAAAAAAACAGAAAACGAAAAAAAAAACTGTAAAATTAAATTCTATTAAGTAAATATGTAGAGCTATTTTATGAAAAATATATAAACGTTAAAATATATATCATGTATATTTTTAAATGCACATGTAATAAATATAAAAACTGATATATAACGATATTTGAAACTAAGTGGCTGTTGTATGATAAGTTTTAAAGAAAGTATTATTTGTGTACCTATTAAGCAAAAATATAAATCCAATAAGCTTATGTATATGTAATAAAGTTTGTGCAAGATAATTCTTGTACCGGTTATCAGTACATTACAAATTGTTATAGTTTGAGAGAACATTATAAATATATATGAATACATTGTTATCAATTTAAAAAGTGTTATTTGTTCCTACTAACGATAAAAGGCTATGGAATCACAGGTTTTAATTGAACTTTTTTTTGGTGGTGGTATCAAGAGTTCTTGCCAAGTAGCTAAGACGAAAACTTAAGTAATTTACTTTTTATTCTAATGCTTTGCTTAGGTTTAACATAGTTAACATGAAAAATTTATTCTCTTCAAAACTTTATAACAAAAATTCCATAAGGTCTAAAATTGCCTTTAGCAAGAAACAAAGTTTTTACTTGTTTTTCGCACCCCCCAAAAGCCCCTGCATTCAAATTTTTGGGAAAATTAAAAAATAATTTTTTCCCTCAAAATTTTTGTCTCCCGAATGCCTTCGATTTCTCTCAAAAAGTATAAAAATGGTGATTATTTTGAAATGACTTCACTGATCTACAGGAAACTTTATAGTAACTTTGAATCCAATAAACAACACCCAATGAAACAAACCTATTCCCTGTGAATAAATTTTAGCCGGAGATCGAAAATAAAACATTTGTGGTTCTTCCAAAGAATTCATCCTTATTTTTCACACTTAAAATGGAATAAAATCTAAACATTGTTGACATAGGCTGAAAGTAGAATAATCCAACTATCCAATGGTTTTATCTTAATTAACGGATCGAGGTCACGACAGCTCAAGTGGTAGAGCAGCGGCGTATCTAGCCGAAGATCATGGGTTCGAATCCCGCTCAGGCCATTGACTTTTATCTCAACTAAAAACCTTAATTAATTGTGACATCGTCTTAACGTTGAATTTGGATAAAATCCAGAGTAATGAATTTTTAAGAGGAAGAGGACACTGAAAAAAAATCTTTTTACTATTTTTCATTAAAAAAATCGTATTATTGGTTTTCAAGTGTGCTCAAAAATCAGAATTGGTTTTTAAAAAACAATGTTGACCAACTTTACTGAAAGCATCTTTGTTTCTGTAACTTTTCACACATCTAATTGCACAGTCGATTTTGTTCCAGCCCAAAATTATCCTTTTTTTATTTACTTGAAAAAGTTGTATTTATTGGCCTTAAATTGTTCTTAAAACAAATCCGAGTTGGTTTTAAAAAACAATTTTGACCTTCATTTTTTTAATAATTTCGACCAATTCATTGAAAACCTTTTTGTTTAATTATTTGTTATTTATTGGCTTTGAAGGGTGCTTAAATGAATCTGAATTAATTTTTAGAAAAATTGACTAGCTTTACTAAAAGCATCTTTTTTTTTGGGGGGGGGGGTTTGAAAAGAAGCATATCTGGACACTGGTTCCCAGGAAAGTTTAGTTTTTAAGGAATGTTTATTTAGATTTGAAGATAATTTAGGTTCATTTAGTGTGTAAGTTTGTTAAAAAGTTATCTGTACAGATTTACGATTAATCTGTGTTTAATATTTTAGTTTTCGTTGGAATAAATTTTTTTAAATTTTACTGTTATTGAATTTTCTTTGTTTTATTTTATTTTTTTTCTTTACGGTTCACTATTTCCGTGTATATAAACAGCGTGGCACCCATTTTTTTTTGGGTTTAGATTGACAATTCAACTGATGCATTGGTAGCTGAAATGACTTAACTGCAGACAGCCCCTGGACCATAACTTCGGCGGTGGTACGGTTAAGTCCAAGGGCTGACCACAGAGTCATTCCCTCAGTCTGCTAGTAATCAACCAAAACAAGTTTTACTGGCAGGTCGCAAGAAATCAAGGTTCGAATCTGTATGCGTCTGTACTTAATGTGGAAAAATTATTATAATAAAAATATATAATTTATAAATCAGTAATGTATTTTGGCAAATAAGACAAGATAAGGCTGAAGGGGGAAGTACAAGCCCCTGAAATCCATATTGGAAAAATAAAAAGTTTTTAAGAAAAGGAACTAAAGATTTTGAAGAAAAACACTATATATATCAGTAATCTCAATTAATACGATCTGGGGCGTCGGTGGCCGCAACGGTTTAGGTGTTGACACGTCGCTCATCACTGTAAGGTGAAGGTCCCGGGTTCGAATCCAGTGGACCTGCATTCGAACCCGACATACTTACAAATGGGCTTTTTTTCAAAAACATCGGCGCCCCGAGGTCGAACCTCTGCTGTTGCGAACCCTCGTAAAAAAATAATAATAATAATACGATCTAGCATATTATTTATTTATCCTAAATTTTAAAAATGCAGAATATATAACTTTGAAATAAATCCACAAAGAAAGGCATAAAAACATAATTTAAAAAAATTATGTAAATTACTTTAATTTTTTTATGGCTTCTAAGGCCCATTAGCAAGAAAGTTCAGACAAACTAATATTTTTTTTACGTAATTCACAAAAAACGTTGTATTAAAATTGGTAATAATCGCTATACCTTCCCATTGTAAAAATACAATTTTGGTCGTTTTGTGGTTTCTACTGTTAAATACTCAGTACCTAAGTACAAACCTTGTTTGTAGTTTTTTTTCCCATTAATTAAGGTTTTGGTTGAGATAAAAAAGTCAGCGTCACAAGCGGGACTCGAACCCAAGACCCTCGGCTGAACAAGCCACTGCTCCTCCATTTGAGCTATCGTGACCTCGATCCACTCAGACACCAACTTCCCATCTTAACCCCACCTTCTGAGTTTTCCCTCCTTTTTGCCATTAATTAATTGAAAAGAATTTACTTGGTCAAGCGGACCACGAAACCTAATAAAAAATAACTTGTTTGTAGTTTCGAAGTCCTCTCCTAGAATAAATTTTTTCTGTTAAAAAATACTAAGCACAATTAGTGAGAAAATGAAGTTGCATGCTAATGGAATGAAGATGACTGAAATGAGTGCAAAATGACTTTGACCCAATCTGCTGGCTCACATCAAATAAATAAAAACACTTTTATTTTTAGCCTGATGCATTTCCCCGTTTTGCTAAACATAAAACATCACGGTTTATGACACGACATTGTTTTTATTTCTGATAACACTTCAAAATATTATAAAATCGATCTAAAGGCTGCAAGGTAGGTTTATATAGATGATACATTTTTCCTCAACCTCATTTGTTCAATATTTATAGAAATTTACCATTTCTTTTATTACATTATTTGAGGGTGAAGGATTCTCATGGAAGTCTGACGTAGATAATTTTTTGCCTTTTGAGAAAACCTAGACTCCATCATTAACTCAACATACAGTTACATGTTACTAATGATTGTCTATCGTTGGTAATCGTTGTGATTCGACTATATTAAAAAAATTTAATATATAACACTGCATTGATGGTTTTCTTGCAATTGAGGTCGCAAATGATAAGAATAAAATTAACAAAATATTTAAAAAAACCATTTTAAAGACAAGTAGCTTTATTGGACAAGTGAGATTGTTATAGTTTTACTTTACAAGACAAATCACGATGAAACACAGTCATTCAATAAGCTAAACAGTAGTTTTGCAAGTTTACTGCTCATTTTTTCTTTTATATATATTATACATATATATTTATATATTATATATATAATATATATTTTTTCACAATACAAAAAGAGAACACAAACTACAATTATTCCATTATTACTATGAATATAGAAGAGAACCTGTATGTTTATATACAACATGTATGCTGCGTGCAAATCACTCAGCATATATTTTTTAATACATGTCAATAGCTCACATTGGCTGCAATAACCCACATATGTTTTCTCATATAAGAAAATGCAATTTGGCATATAACGAAAAAAATTTCCGTCATCTCCATTTATAAATAAACTCAGATATTAATTACATAACTTTGTCCATTTTTTTTAATAATTAAAAATTAGAATATGGTCTTATATAGTTTTTACTTTTTTATATATATATTTTTAAAATTTTTTATATAAAAAGCGAATATATGCTTATTCAATTTTTTTAATATATTTTTAGTTATATTTTTTATTATTAAATAAAACTGTTGCTGTAAAATATACTAATAAAGTGAAATTGAATAAATAACTTATGAAAAACAAAGCACAAAGAAGTTTTTCTTTTCTAAAAAATAAATAACGGGAAATTTTTTATAAAAAGGTTCATTGACCTCAGCACAACCAGAAGGCGTAACGCTATACCCACATATAATATTTATAATTTTATATTTATATATATATACTTTTTTTTTAAATATCCCACACTCTTTCTTTCCTTCAGTTTCTCCCTTAACTCATTTAATCTCTCAAAACATGCACACACATACACACACTATGTATATATTTATAAATTTATTTTGTATAAATAAAAACATGTACAAACAGCGCGAATGGAAAAGCAAGTGTGGGAGCAGCTAAATTTAATATATTTGTAGAATGATTTTTTTTTTTAGTTTTTTTAATAATTTTATTATAGAGTACAATTTACAATTTGATAACCCGATGGTATTTATGTGGGCATATATACGGATAATAGGACCACCCTGAGCCCCATATCAGGCGTGTGTTGGTTCAAAAGCCCGATATAATGGTGATCCTACCACCTGAGACATAGCTGATGTTTTAAAATTTAAAATAAAAACCTCGTCTTTACATTTTCAACATTATCAGTGTACTTATGTCGATATATATATATTTATATATATTAATATTTAACCTAGTTTTTGTGATTTTTTTTTTCAATTTATTAGTTTTTTGTTTTTTAATAATTCATATAATTCATCCATACATGACAATAAGTAACATTACACACATTTAACTCTAGATCCTATTGAAATTCATCCATTACAATGAAAGTTATACAGTAATACACAATTATTTTCCTTTATTTTATTTATGGAAAATAAAAACCGTCACAGAGCATCATTTCCTAGGCATTAGTCATTACATGACTCAATTGTTTCACTAATAATTCTATTAAATAAACCAGCTTGGCCCACAAATTTGAAATATATTTTAAAGGGAATTAATTTATACATTCTTAATTTTTTATTATTTTTTTAATTAAAAAAAGATCAAAAATTTTTTAAAAGATTTTTTTTTACATTTTTTAAATTAATTTGTAGTCATCGCTCACACGAGGTAATAATATACAAGCATGTATTAAATTAATAAAATGAAGGATGGGCACCAGCGTGAAATTATTGACGGTCCATTAAATTTTCATCATTCTGATAACATCTCAACGCCTCCTGTGACTTCTCTTTGACAGACTTAGTTTTTAAGACTTTTCAACTTGTTGACTCCCATCATTATGCCGAGCGTCCATCCTTCTACAAGAATATATTTCATTTACACCATTTTTTTCACATTTTTAATTTTTTTTAATCAACAAAAACAGGATTTGTTTAACACTATATAATACAAAAACTTTTTTTGTGTGTGTAAGAGAGCTATTTACCATTTTATATTAGGCAATAACTCATTTTTTACCCAACTTCTCTTTATCTTTCATTTCCACGTTTTTTCATTTCTCTCCCGATTCATTTAAACATATACTTAATTTATATTATATAATTGGCAGTATATTCCAACTCTCTACAGAGACAAGGTAACACAACATCCAACAAATTCGATACGAGTAGAATTCAGATTAAAAATTTGCCAGCGCTGAGAACATTTATAAAAAGCAAAAACCGATCTACAAAAACTTTCATAGAAACATATCCAGTTATACAACGGCACAAATTAATAATCAAAAAGCGTTTAGAAATTACATAAAACAAGTTTCAGAAATGCAGTTGAGGCTGATGTACATGAGTGCTGCCTTATCTTTGATGGATTTTATGTCTGGTCCCTGATGTAAAGTTTTGAGTGTACAATAGCAAATTTGTGTTTAACTTTTTTTCAACCTAAGAGAGGCCCGTCTTTTTTTCTCCTTTTAATTTTTCTTTTTGGGTTTTTTGTATTTTTTGATATTTTTTTAAAATAATTTTCCATTTCATTTTGTATTTTTTTTATTATTTTTTTATAATTTTTTTTTATAATTTTTATTTTTGTTACCTTTCATGTACACATTTTTCTCATTTTTTAAAATGTATTTTGAACAGTACATTCAATTTCACAAAAAACGTAAAATGAGAAGAGAAATCAAGTTCATTTTCAATTACATCTCATTTTTATTTGTAAATTAAAAATGAGAAAAATGGAAATGATTTAAAATAATTTTTTCTTTTTAATCTGGTAGGATCTTGGTTCTAAATAGAGGGAAATGCTACAAAGCAAGACGTTTTAAATATAGATTCTAAGAGCATATGGTTTGTAAATATTTAACTTTTTTTTTGCTTTTTTAAATGTATTTTTGTTATTTTTTTGTAAGTTTTTTTAACAGCTTTTTTTATCTTTTAATTTTTTACTAGCTAGAAAAATGCAATTAATTGCTGGGAAACAGCAACCCCTCCAGGTTCCGAAGCAAAGGAGATTCAGAAATGAAGAAAAAAACAGGTGTGAGGGAGCACTACACATTTCTTTTTTCCTTTTGTAATACACAAAATCATGATACATAATATATTATATCCTAAGCAAACCACATCAATCTAATCTCTCATCAAATTCAATCCATAACAAAATTAATTTTTCAATATTCACCTGCCCCGATTTTACTTACAAGTCCTTACACAATTTCTTTTCTTTCACACTTCATTTTTTTTTCATAATTTGTTCAGAATAATTAAAAACAAAAGGCTTAATCTCTAAATTTCTTGTTATGTTTGAATTCTTTTGGAATTCTCTTACCTTCTAAGTTTTTCTTATATGTTTTGATAAATATTATCATTTTAGGAGTAACTATCATAATTACTTATTATATATAATAGGTTCTTAAACTTTTTTTTTGTATTTTTTTTTGTAATTTTTTTTATAAGTGAGATTATTTTTGTTCTGGAGGGGTGAATATGACAAGATGGAGGAGGTCAAATTAGTTCCAGATGCGAAGGAAGCTATCCCATGATCCAGTGGCAACCGCCATACCATCTTCAGTAACGCCAAGGCACGACACTCTATTGTCATGGCCAGCGAGGATGCCTGTAAAATGTAAAATAAAAAATTATTTATAAAATTTAACATGGTTTATCTAAGAGACTATTTTTCAAGCTAGGCTTATCGAATTATTTTAGATGCTATATAACTAACCCGCTCGCTCGGTCTTCATCGAGTCCCATATGTTGCAGTTAAAGTCATCGTAGCCCGCCAGCAAAAGCCGGCCGGACTTTGAGAAAGCAACGGATGTGATTCCGCAGATAATGTTATCGTGAGAATACATGGCCAATTCCTGATCAGACCTAATGTCAAAAAGTCTGCAAGTTGCATCGTCAGAGCCAGTGGCGAATGCGTAACCATTCGGGAAAAACTGAAAATTAAACGTTCAAGTAAAAAAATGTCCGGACAAGAATCACACAGAATACTTACTGTAACTGCGTTTATGTCAGATTCATGACCTGGGAATGTCTGTTTGCATGTTCCTTCCCTGATATCCCAGAGCTAAAGAATAAGAAAAAATTGTAGTTCTATCCGATACTAGCATCACTTGTAATAATTTACCTTGGCTGAAGCGTCACAAGCTCCAGATACAAACGTTCTCATGTCAGGAGATAAAGAAAGCGACATGACATCACCTGTGTGACCTATGAATGATGTACACTGTTGACCAGTTTCAATATCCCAAAGGGCACTAAAAAAATAATACACAATTAGAAAGAACAAACCTGAATATATAAAGAAAATGAAAGGTATTCGTACCATGACATATCGCCGGAACTTGTCACAATCTGGTTGTCGTCTAAGAACCTACAGCAAGAGAGGTAGCCTGTGTGGCCAGGTAGTTCTCTTGAAACTCTAACATTGCCCTCCCTCGTCTTGAGACTGTAGATAGAGCAAATGTTATCCAGCCCTCCGCACGCGACAAAAGAGCCCGAAGGGGCGTACGCGCATGTCATGACCCAGCTTGATCTTAAAGGGATTGCATGGACTTTGTTTGTCGTGTAGGAGTCCCACACTATTAGCTTGCCATCTTGCGATGCTGATACTAGGTTCCTAAAATCAAAGAGCAATTTTTCAATAAAACAGTAAGAGACAAAATTGTTAAAAGCTATATACAACAACAGGCCTCCTGAATGCATAAGCACTAAAAAAATTCAGTGTTTTTTTGTTTATCTTTTTGAATCATGCAAAATACTTCTTTTTTTCATCAAAAAACAAAGCTAAGCTGAAAAAAATTTATCGTACAAATAAAAAAAGAGATATTTGCAATTTTGAAGGTTCTTGTATAGAGAAAAGAAGAAGAGTTCACACTAAATAATGACATTATACTGCACAAACTTAAACAGAAATGTGAATGCTAAAGAAAAAACTCAAAAGTACAATTTAAAAATTAGAAAGTCAATTTAAATATTTTACTTTGTATATGCACACAGCTATTTGTTAAGAAAATAAAAAATAAAAATAAATAATCTGCTATTAACTATAATCTATCCCTACAAGATGAAAGACTGAATCACTACATGAATCTTATTTTTGATACTTACCCACTGTAAATGCCATGATTGCAATAAAGAATTCATATATCAGGGTCAAGTAATAAAAACAAAAAAGAAATTTCTAGAAAAAAAACACCCTATATATAACTAATAACTATAACTTAAAAAGCTATACTATTATGTAAACAGGGAAAAAATGGATGAATAAATAATCAATAAAATATATAGCCTAATAAAAATATATAGGCTTATACAAATAACGCCATTCAATTTCGCAGATTTGTTTTTAAAACTTTCTGCAGGAAAAAGTGCCAATTTATTATTTCTGTTTTTCCATTTCCTGTTGATCATATTTTCTTTCATATGTGTTTAATAGTAAGAGAAATTTCAATTGAGCTAATTAAAATAAATAACTACTGTATAATGTAAAGGTAACCGGCGTATGTTAAAATTATGCTATGGCAGAAAGACCCCAAAACATTTACTATATGACTGCAGGATCCCAAAGGAATTTTTTTAACATGGGTTCACAACAACGAAGGTCATATCAACCCTCGGCATGCTGGTGTTTTTGAGAAAAAAACATTTGTAAGTATGCCAGGTTCAAATGCGGGATTCGGACCCAGAACATTTTACCTTACAGTGATGAGCTCCATGTCAACGCCTAAACCATTGTGGCCACCGACGCCCCTTTCATCTGTTATTTTAGTAATTATTAATTGAATAATAGAAAACGATCAAACTGCAAGTTTATTATCTTATAGACATTGTGTAATCATTTAAGAGGCTCCCAAATAGCAGCAAAATATAAAACCACATTTTATATTTTACTATAAAACAACAAGTCGTATGTGGAAAAAAAAGACCGCAGGATTTGGCTGTTGATGCCAAATAACACACAGACCAACCATGAAGATGGCAAAAAGTCAAAACACATCTAACAGACAAAAAATTCAATAGGCAAACTAGAATAAACAAAACCAACTTAACTACAAACTTATTTGTACATATAATAATAATTAATAAACTTTATTACATTACATATAAATTTACAATAAAAAAAAAAATATTTTGTACTTCCCTGCTTGCTGTCAAAAAGCAAAGCTTGTTCTAGACAGCAAGAGTTTTTTTTGACATCCTCAGAGAAATAAACAGAATATATCTTTACAAAAAAATAATGAAAACCAAAAACAAACATAATACAGAATAAACGTGTAGTATGAAAAACCAACCATATTGAATCTTGGCTTTAGCTTTAAATATCTTAAATACAATTTAAAATTTTTGAAATTATAATTTTTTTTCTAATATCAATGTCATATCTGATAATATCAATACCAGAAGTTATCACATAATACACCTTACAACTCCTACATAAATTTTAACTACACATGTAATTGCACCCTTTCTGAAGTACAAAAAATACAGCATCCAGCCAAAACAAAGAGCATCCAGCTGAAAACGACTGGTTCTATGGATGGTATTAACCAATAAACCACAGACAAACTACTGAAGATATTGAAATGTAAAAGCAAATTTAACAGACCAAACCTGTAAGAATAGGAAAACTAGTTGAACAGCATTGAATTAATTACATATTTATTTGCACCAATATTAAGATGTTATCACATAATACACCCTACTGAAAACGTTGAAATAAATTTATTTCTCAATCATAGTTCTCAAGATTAATTTATGTGTAACTATACTTGTGTCTGGGCACTTTCAGGATAATGAACTGGTATTATTTACCATTTCTCTTTTTTAACCATTTGTAATTCTTACTTGTTGTTTTTAAGTTTATTTTGACCTCCCTATTTTTTTGAAGAGTTAGGTACTTATTTCCCCCCCCCCCAAATTATGTAAGTTTATAATTATTTATAAATTAATTTTTGTTAGTATTAGAATAATGCTAGACAATTTCCATAGAATATTATTTTCTCAGGGCTCAGTATAAAATCGTCAATTAATTTCTTTATTGAAGGAACAAGGTGACTGTGTTGCTCCGACTAAATATTCATTACTCCACCAGAAGAAAATCCAGATGCGGAAATTTACATTGACTCTGATGCATTTGACAACGAGGCTTCAGGCGATCCTGCCGATCCTTCATGAAATGTAAAAATTTGCATTCTTTTGGACTGCTAATATAAGCATTGTTCAAGCTTGGCTAACATATAGAGAGAAACCTCTTCCACTACTTTATTAGATTATATGATACACTACTATATATTAGAAGATAAGGGCATATGTCATTACTGACAGCGTAGTCGTAGAAAAGGTCGACAATCAGGAAGGTATGATGGTTCTATAAAGAAAGATCGATTGGATCATCAAATTGAAAAAGGGATGCTTATGAAATACTGTTTGCATGCAATGAAAAGGAAGGCATCCTTACTATTGTAAAAAAAAAAATTAAGGTAACATTACGTCCTGATTGTTTTTCAACCTACCACAAAAAAAATAAATTAATAGTTAATTTTAGAATTTTAAAATGTATAAAGTATAAACAACCACACACAAATGTCTATAAATCAGAAGAGGCAATCAACTACACGATGTTCCCTATCAATTTGGGAAACATCACTCTGCAATAATTAAGCAGTAAGTTGAAGGGTGTCGCAGACCAAGACGAGAGCCACAAGAGGTTTCCCACAAACATGGAAAACATAAAGTTGCCATAGTTGGACAACTGATCAAATAAATAACTAATGTCGAGTTATTTAGCGCTGAAGGGTTGTCAAAAGGCCAAAAATATAGCAACGTGGGACATTGTAAATTGCGTCAACCAGGTGCACGGCACCCGTCTTTGCTGGTCCACCCATGGCATGGGAATCCCCCGACGTTTGATTTTCTTTTCCACCCCGGTCATCTTGCCGCTTACAGTATAATATAACACTAGGATTTATCCATGATGTCGTCTACGCAGGACTCTATTTAATGCACCTTTCTAAATGCATATTCTAATGTAATATAGTAGCTTTCTAATATGTTTTATTTCTCAAATTCTTCTCTTCTTCAGTTCACTTTGTGGTCTATACATGGTAAAAAATTATGTCAGTCAGTCACGGAACTGTGTTATATACATAGACTAGCTTTTACCCACGCCTCTGTCTATGTGGGACTCTGTTTTGATTTGCCTTTCAAATGTGATGCAGAGTGCTAGTCTGCTATGCTTTCTAATGCAATGTCTCAATTCTCAAATTCTTCTATTCTTCAGTTCACATCAGTCTATACATGGAAAAAAATAGTCTATATGATCACCTTAGGGATGGAATTTCAGAAAATCCTTTCTTAGCGGCTAATCATGTCATTATAGGAATGCTCTGTCAAAATTTCAGCCCTTTAGATCCAGCAGTATGGTCTGTGCATTGTCTGTTGGTCAGTCACGGAACTGTTTTGTATACATAGATAGGGATGGAATTTCAAATAATCTTTTCTTAGCGGCTATCCATGTCATTATAGGAATGCTGTGTTGAAATTTCAGCCCTTTAGATCCAGCGGTTTGGTCTGTGTGTTGTCTGTCAGTCAGTTATGGAACTGTGCTATGTACATAAACTAGCTTTTGCCCGTGACTTCATCCACACGGGATTCTGTTTTAATGTTTTAAATACACACATAAATACACACACAATATACTTTCTAATACAATGCAGAGAGCTACAATGTCTCGATTCTCAAATTCTTACATTCTTCAGTCTATACATGGAAAAAATGCCCTTGAAATCATTAATTGTGATGTACTCGGTTTAGGGTGTGGAACAACCTCTCTAATGAACTGTCAAGTGAACACTTCTCACTTAAAGAAATACTTGTTAATTTAAAAGTAAAATTTGTTTCTGCACTCCAAGAAAGTCTCGTCAACTTCACGTTTCTTATTTTACAGTCAGGTATGTTTAACTTAATTACAGATAATTTGCAAGGCTTGTCTTTGGGTGAACTTCGCTGGCTTTTCAAGATCAGAGGTGAACTTCTATATCTGAATAGTGCCCCCTTTTAGGGATGGTTAGGGTTGGTGTGCGATAGTGGGATAGTGCCCCCTTTCAGACTCTGGGAAATGAACAGTGTCCTCTATGCAATTCAGGTGTTAGGGAGGGCATTGTCCATTTCTTGACAGAATGCACCATTTTGTCACTTGAATTATTCTGCAATTGCAAAAACCAGCTTAATGTTCTCTTTAAGTATAAGTTTAGGAATTTAAATAAATATGCTCAACAAGCGTACTCTATTTAATATTTTAGTGGTGCAATTGATGTTTTAATTACTTTTACCAAAGATGAAGAAATTGATGGAGGAAAGGAAAAACCATGCTCGAATGATTGGTAAGATGGAAAGATTAATAATAATAAAAATTAAAAACTTAAGGAAATTTTGAATTCGAAATGCTATACATCCTCCACAATGTATTTTCGACACGCTGCTGTTGCATTAAACCCGCAAAACCCGTACGTAAATATATATCAGCGTATTCTTCATTAGAAAAAGAGCCACAGTGTTAACAAGATATCACATGGATAACTAAAAACGTTTGAATCTATAACTCTTTTATTCCAGAGAATAATCATATCCTTTAAGCAAAGTTGCAGTCAAGTTGGTAAATAAGTAAACACTTGCGGTAATTTCGATTTCAAACCCAAATTAAAATAATGTTTAATACATTTTTTTTTTTCACCTTATCAATCCGTCAGCCTCGATTTATTCCTTTCCTCCATCAATTTATTCATCTTTGAAAAAAGTATTAAAAATGAAATTGCACGATTAAAAAGGATATTAAATGAAGTACGTTTCTGAAATTTGCTGTTCTCTAGGTTTGCAAATAGTAGTTTAGAATCACCATAGTAAGTTTATTAACTTTGAAAAAAAAAATTAATGTTCTCGCCACTAAAACACTTATTTCACGAATGTTGACAAGTTTACTATTAATCACATCTTATTGGAAATTTATCATAGTTTTCAATGGTATCAACGGATTTGTCCAAAACCTTTTAGTTTTGGAGTTATCATTGTTTATTTGGAGCAAGGTCGTGAAATCTTAAAAAATCAGAAAAAGT